CTTCTGAGTAAGGAGTCCATGTCCCATGCCCGTAGGCCGCCTAGCATAACCGCTCTTAATAGGGCTCGAGTCTTCCAACCTGCTAACCGAACAAGATGAAATAGGCTAAAAGAGACTCCTCTAACACTATCAATTTGAATTTCTTAAATCTCCTAACATATCATATATATTGATAAGTAAATATGGATGTAGATGAATTTGTAAAAAAAAAAAAATGAAATGGCTTAAATTAATCCTTGCGATGTAATGAAAAAAATCCTTTTGATAAGCATGCATCACTTTTGGTTGTGTTGTAGTTTCTAGAAATGAGTTGGTTAATTAAACTAGAATAGGTTAGGTGGTTTGCACCCAATGCGTTATTGGTTAGTACGTAAGGGAGAAAGCAAAAACTAAAGGAACATAAAACTAAACACGTCAAAAGAAATGGGTTTCTTTACCTATAAATATGATCTCCATTCATCCATTGCTTAAATCAAACAAATAATTTGCAATCACTTTAGCATCAATTTAAGAAACATACACCTTGAGCAATGGACTCCTCAATCGGATATGTAACTTTAATTGCATCTTTGCTCTTATGTCGCTCATCATCTCCAACATCAATTGCAAATGCAACAGCGTCTTCATTAATTAGTAGTGTTTGCAAGCAAACCCAAGACCGATTCGGCTACAACTACAATCAATGAGTAAAATCTCTTTGGAAAGATAATACCTTGATCAGCATCTAATCTCAAAGATCTTGATACAACCATTGTTAAATTAGCACTAACAAATGCACAACAAAGCAAAGCTTTCTTTGTCAATGCGCTCAACACCACCGGCAAAGGTATTGTTAAGGGATTTGAAGAAATAAAACAATGTGCATATTCATATGATTTTGCGGTAGACAGTTTCGCTTTCTCAATGCGAGGGATCAAAGATAATGACAAATCGGTATCCCAAATACTCACACAAGTACAAGACGAAATTGTTCGTTGCAAAAAAGCATTGGGCTCTGTCGAAATTGAACTTCCTGATTTAGTATCTTCGACAGACTTTTTGACCACGTTATATAGGGATGTCGCATTCCTTATTACTTTCCAGTTATGAAATATCTAGAAAAGATACGTGAACAATGTATTAAATTTAATATGTATTACTTACATGCTAAATAATAAACATACAACTATGAACTACTATATATTTAATTTGTAAAAGAAAAGAAAAGAACGAAAAATCATTGTGAGAAAACAAAAAGCTATTCTAATGTTGAATCCTTATGTGTTGCTCTTTTGGCTGTCCATATTACACATACACCCATATATACTACACACGGAAATCTTAAGAACACAATACGCTATGCATCTTTAATCTTGATAGCATCAGTGGAAACCTTCAAACTATAATTCTTTGTTGATTATTCGAATTTGAAAATATGAAGGAAAAAAAACGCAAGACAATGTGCATATATAACCATGATAGCATTTCAAATAACCACAACGCATTGAGGACAACAAGGAGTCACATTGATACTGATACAATTACACTTTTGAGTTTTAAGGATTTGATTTTCTTTTTCTCCACTTTTCTACTGCTTTTAGTTATCAATGATTTTTGGGTACACAATCATACGAAGAAAATGCCAATTGGCAAGAAAGAGGTGTGTTTGTACCATATTTGACCAATCCCGAAACTACTGAGTACCAGTAAACGTTATACCGTCAATGACCCATAAGAGTTTCCCTCCAACCAGGAGGCCAATCACAATGTGACACGTGTCGACATCAAAAGCCAATCACAGCGCGACACGTGTCAACATCAGAAGCCAATCATAACATGACCAAGGTTCTAAAAGTCGCTAGGCGCTAGTCGGGCGGCGAGCTGGGGCCTAGCGGCGAGCTGGGGCCTAGCGTCTAGGCGCCCATGACCAAGGTTCTAAAAGTCGCTAGGCGCTAGTCGGGCGGCGAGCTGGGGCCTAGCGGCGAGCTGGGGCCTAGCGGCTAGGCAGGCGCCTAGGCGGACTAGGCGGATTTAAGTAAATCTATCACATTTCATGTAAATAAGTGTCTGCTTCTACTTGAAATATATATATTTTCATCATAAACTACAAAATAGAATGCATATATATCATGAAGTATTGGAACATAATGAAAATATGTGAAATAAGGATATAATGTTTGTTCATTCAAGTATGCAACAAGTCTCTTACAATTTATTGGAAAAAAACAAAATGCAAAATGAAAGTTACGTATTTTCTGTCTAAGTGAGTTGCAACCTAGGCGGGTTAGGCGGGTGCCTAGGTGGTCAAGGCGGTGGGCTGGGGCCTAGGCATTAATCGGGGCGGTGGGCTGGGGCCTATCGCCTAGGCAGGGCCTAGGCGGCGCTAGGCGGAGATTTTTAGAACAGTGAACATGACACTTGTCAATGTCAGAATGAAACTAGAAACTCTCTTCTATAAATAGAGATCATTCTCTCACAATATTTCCGAATGTCATTTGTACTAAATCATTCACTTGTACTCACTAAAGGAGAGCTTGAACCTATGTACTTGTGTAAACCCTTCACAATTAATGAGAACTCCTCTACTCCATGGACGTAGCCAATCTGGGTGAACCACGTACATCTTGTGTTTGCTTCCCTATCTCTATCCATTTACATACTTATCCATACTAGTGACCAGAGCAATCTAGTGAAGGTCACAAACTTAACACTTTCTGTTGTACCAAAGTCCTCGCTGATTTTGTGCATCAACAAGGTGTAAAGTCTGGTCCCGTCGATCCCCCTTCCCTTGATATGATACACAGGTCAAGGGGAAGACTTGAGTTCAGGGACGAAGTTGGCTCCCTTATTGAATTGTCGTGGTGTTGTGGGTATCTCGACCTCCATCTCTATCCGTGCAAGAAAAAAAAAAGAATTTGTTGAGGCAGTGGGAATTTCAACAACTCAAAGAAAAGGACCGCGCTCCACCACACCACTTCCAACTCAAGGTACGACTGACTCTCTTAGAAGCAAAGGGCATCTTCAGTTCAACATTGTTGTACAAAACGAAGGAGGCACCACTAATGGAGTTACACATATGAGTGTCTTTAGTGGAACAAATCTTAATTTTTGAGCTTTGTACAGTTTTAGAAGAAAAGACCATAGCTTCAAAAACAATCCTTGAGAATGACGTACTAACATCCCCACTTTTTGTCATCTATAACATAAATGTAAAGGCTAAATATCCACAATGGTCCTTGAGATTTGCATAATTCATCACTTTGGTCCCTAACATTTCAAATCAATAAAAGTGGTCCCTGAGATTGTCCACCATCCATCATTTTAGTCCTTCCGTTAAAAACTCCATTAAGTGTCCCCGAAGCTCTTGGCCGGAAGTTTGGGCAATTTTCAAAACTTCGTAACTCAATCGTTTCTTAACCAAATTCGACCCATAATATATCAAAATAAAGATAGGAAAGTGTATAATAAGATTACACCTATTTGGAAGCCCAATGGCTGCCAGTGGTTGCCTGAAAATAGCCTCAAAGTTGACTGGTCCGAGGGAAAACTAGAAAACTCGCTGAAAACTGGTTAAACTCTAAACGTTCATAACTTCTTCAATACTCAATGAAATCAAGTGATTCAAAAACTAAATCGCAACGAGATGAAGAGAATGGTACCTTTTTAGACGGCTAAATCGCCTTGTTTTGGCCGGAAAACGGCTCGAAAGTGGCTAACTCGAGACCAAGACAGCCACTTTCGAGCTGTTTTCTAGCCAAACCACATGATTTAGCCATCTAAAAAGGTACCATTCTCTTTGTATCAACGAGAAGTATGATTTTTGTTTTTGAATCACCTGATTTCGTTGAGTATTGAAGAAGTTATGAATGTTTAAAGTTTACCCAATTTCCTGCGAGTTTTCAAATTTTCCCTCGGACCAGTCAACTTTGAGGCTATTTTCTGGCCATCTTAGGCAACCATTGGGCTTCTAAATAGGTATAATCATATTCTATACTTTCCTATCTTCATTTTGATATATTATGGGTCGAATTTGGTTAAGAAACGATTGAGTTACAAAGCTTTGAAAATTGCCCAAACTTCCGGCCAAGAGCTCCGGGACACTTAATGGAGTTTTTAATGGAAGGATCAAAATGATGGATGGTGGACAATCTCAAAGACCACTTTTATTGATTTGAAATGTTAGGGACCAAAGTGATGAGTTATACAAATCTTAGGGACCATTTTGGCTATTAGCCAAATGTAAATAAAACTCCCTGACTATGGCATTCTACCATCTAGGGGTAGATTTTTTTGCCAAATTACCGTATCAACTAAATTGCCTACTGTACCATACTGATTTTGTGGCAAACTTTTTGTGCCAATTGGTAATGGCACGGTATTATACCGAACCGAAATTTTTTGGTAAAGTATTGGTATTCGATATCATTACAACGACATTACCATACCATACTGAAACATATAAATATATATAATATATAAATAAATAATGTATATAATATTTCAGTATGAGAAAGAAAAAAAAAAAACCTTCAGACGCCTCTCACTACCCCCCAAATCAACCACTACCCACCTACCAAATCCCCTACAACACCCCAATCCCACCCTTCTGAATATAAACTGGGGGAGCACTCAGAGCAGTATGTGAACCCAAAAAAGTAAACCCCCCACAGCACCCCAAACCCGCCTTCAAAATCCCACCCTTCTGAATTGGGTTGAAGTAAAATACGTATGGGCCTTGAATTGGGTTGAAGGAAAAAAAAAAATTAAATTGTGATCCAAAACAAAGTGGTAATTTACTATTACCATACCATACCAACCAAACTATTTGGCATACAGAAATTCAATATATCGAAAGTTTGGCACGATAATGATAGTCAATTTTACCATACCAAAAATTTGGTATGGTAATTGGTACGAGGGTTTTGGTACGATAACCGTACCGAAACCATTCCTGCTTGTATAACACTTCTCACAAGTTTAACATAGTTTTAGAACCCGTGGCATCGAGCGAGTTCAGCTGCTTGTAAAACCTACCAAGTTGTTTATTGGAAATAGAATAAATATATTTTTTTTCAGTCAAGAATTCTAATGGCTGTTTCTTTTCAGAAACCAGTGGGTTAGAACTTTTTTTTTTTGTTTTTTCCAAGTTCCAATAGACAACTTGATTAGAAAAGAAGCACTGCCTATTAATATGCAGAGTCAAGGAGATTATCCAAAGTACAACTACGACACCGTGAAATATCCAATATTTACATTAGGAAGAAGGTTACTTCAAGACCGGTCCTTGAGACGCAGCAACAGCAGCTGAGAAAGCATCCTGAATCAGATGGCATCGAATTAAACACGAATGAAACCATCTGCACTCTGCCTAACTCTCAATGTTAGGTATATCAAAATCATTGTCCCCAAACTTGACCTGCAAAACCGAGATTGTTGATCGTCATTCGTGTTCAGTCCAAATACTTACGCATATCAATACAGGTACAGATACTTCCAAATTTTCAATCAAAATATAACTCATTTCACCAAAGCGATACAAAATAGACAAAAATACGCTTGATACCTAAGTTCCAACCCGCAAAGCGCACCTTGCTGTAGAGCAGCAGAATAACCGCAAAGATAAAAAAAGATCAAACAATAACAAGAAACCACGCCGACATGATTCAAACCAAACTTCAAAATACATGGAGAGGAAGTGCTAATGTAGTATGAAAAGATTAATATACTTTAGATTCCTTTAAAGCCTACCCTATTGCTATGTGCAGTTCCCCATTCTATTTCAGATCCAATGTCCTGATTTTTCCTCCGTTTTTCTTCTCTGATAAAGGGCTCCAGCCCAGAACAAACCTGTATACGAAAATTAGGAACTGAAAGAAACATAGAACCTAACCAATGAAAGAATTCAGTTGATGGTGTCTTCCTAGTACATTCAACCAGGTTGCCAGTTGAACTTTAAGTCCATTAAAGAATTCTCCACGTCATCAAAAGCTCTGCTGTTCCAACCAAACCGTAAGCACCAAAAGATGCAATGAGGGATAACTTTTTATTAGCTTTTAGACGCACCCCTTTGCGCAAACAGCAGGCCAATTCAGAATATGAAGGTCCATAACTCCTGGTTATAGAACAGTAGACAAGAGAAGGGCCACCGATTCTGCTGATGCCTTACTTTGAAAGCAACAATTACCAAGACACCACAGATTTTTTATAGCTATAATTTTCGGTAAATCGGTACCTGGTACTGGGGTTCCAAATCTAATTGCATGCTGAACAACTAGAATCCCACTACAAAACATGGTCTCCCTGATTGAACTGGTCTGTGCCGACTAGAAACCCTGTATTTTCCAAGCACTTAACACACCATGCCACCCATATCTCTCATGTTCATCTTAAAAACTAGAATGGTGTTTCCCAACAAATCCAGCAACGTATTACATCCCATCTATTTCATAATTTTTTAACTTTGAAGCTCAATATCAAAAGCAGACACATTGGACCAAGAAGGGTGAACAAAACAACAGTGTATCGACTCTTTCACCCTGATTGGCCAACAATCTTCACTATCCCATCATGCTTTCACTCGGAAAAAACCTTATCTTCCTCTATTTGAAGCAATTTTCCCCTGCTTGTTGAATTATAAATGGCACAGGTTCGGCATTACATTTTTTGTAGTGGGCATCCTGTTTTTGGCGCAAAGCTTTTCCATAGTAGGAGGCGGTCATGCGGCCTCTTTCTGCTTTCTAGGGACCAACCTTGGTAGAAGAACTACAGAGACACTGCAGTTTATGCCCGTTATGGGTTATGCAAAATCCCCAAATGAAGGAGATGAGGTTTTGATTGTGTATGTAGCTTGTGATATCATTCTGTTGCATCCATTTCTATCGGATGGACATCTAGATATGAAAGGGGCAATCTAATCATGCAAAAAAACCCAAAATTCAACTGTAGCTCAGCCATCAAGCAAATACAGCAAGCACAAAATTTTAACTGTACCCTAGCAAGTACAATCTAATTTGCTGCAAAAATGTTCATGCCCTAACAAAATGATTGAATCATACGTTGCATCATACCAAAGGAAGTATAAAAATCATTGAATAAATAATAACTTCAGAATTTTACTTCTCAATCAATAATATTACACTCAAATATATATATATTACACCTCTAAAGAAGAAAGGTAAGAAGGAAGACCTGAGGTCTACTTTGGCCTCTTATAACATTAAGCATGAAATGGAATCTGAGAACTCAATAAACTATGTTAATGCAAACTATTTGAAAGCTTTAATATTCAGATTCATCAAACCCTAAGATAAAATGCCCCTCCATCCTACTATTGTTCTGAGAATTATATTTTGTCCAATCGAATCAAGTACTAATATAAAACTAGTGATAGTAAAACGTAAAAAGTAGAACATTAAGCTTTGATATTGACGGCAAAACATGAAAAACATTAAAATGTCAATATTCCTCATCTCATTGTTGTCATGATAAATTACACTTTGTCTGATCAAGTCAACTACTGGTTTAAACTATTCATGACATGTAGTAAAATTAAAGTATTCTGGAAGATACATTTAAAATATTTTTAAAGCAAATATTTAAGCAGCTTGTTTGTTTTACTACTTACAAGATTGAGAACAAGAAGACGACTTTTCTGGAATCAAATGAGGCAGTGCGTTTGCATCTTTTCCACCGGTTATTTGGTGCTTCATGAATTTTCTCAGTCACTGGGTTATCTGTTGAAATATGAGAATAAAAATCAACTTCCCATTTTATTAGAACGTGATCATCCAGCCCAAAATCAATCGGCAGTGGATGGAGAGACTCTAGATCATTTAAACTACCATGCAAGGCTTTAATTCCCCAATAAAAGAGAAGTTTTATGGACAAGTCAAACATATGTATCTCTTCCATTAAAGTGACAGATGCCTCAATCTAGTGCTGCTAGAGAAATTGATTATATCGATGCAATATGCATCGATATACAGAAGACCCTGGAAGATTCAACATATTATGGTCTTAACGAAGAAAAAGTAAATAAATGATAGCACAGAATCCTGATAAAGGGATCATCCACAAGGCATGTGGAAAATCTGTACAAAAGAATCTGTATAAATTAAGACTTATCACCTGGATTATCATAACTTAAGGCTTAAAAAGATAAGTGCAATATTCAACCCACTACATCCAAGTAGAAAACATCGTTAAGCCTTTTTAAGGGCTTGCCGACCAGCATAATATTCTATTCTTTTAGCTTGCAACGATGTATCGAAAAAGCAAGGCTCAATGATTCATAATTTAGAAAATAAAGAGTACAAATTTGAAGGTATAGAAATGCTTACACACCTCTTGAAATGCCATGGTTGAATAGAAGCTGCAAAAGTTTCCCACCAACGTTTAGGCTGGGCTGTCTCCGAAACACTCTCTGAAAGTGTTATATCAATGATATTAAAATTATGACATAAACAGAAAATGTCAAAATATAGTTGGTATGAAATTTTTGGACCATCTGGAGTTTCAAGTTTATTCTAGATAATATCATATAGCATAAAAACATGACCTATTGTAACTTACAGCTAGTAAGCCCTCGCGTTTTAAACTTTCAATTGCTTCCTCTTTGGATTCTGGTGCTTGAATATATCCCTTCTCCAGATCTATCTCAATGATGCATGGGGGATGAGAATCTTCCCTATTTGCTTGTAAATCATTGCAGTTCTGGCAACTCAGCTGAGCATCCATGCACATCTGACTTTTAGATGAATTAGAAACTTCTGAAAAGTTCAAAAATCCCAATACTGAAGGGCATTGTGGACTGTTGCTTTCTGTGGCTAACATTGAAATGCTATACACATCTGTGGCCTTCACAAACAGAAAACTTCAAAATGTTGTAAATTGAAACAGGAAAGCCTTACTTGAAACAACATCAATGAGATTTTGTTAGCATAATCAATACTGACAACAGAATGAGGAAGCTGAAGTAGATGAGGCTTCAGAAACCCCGTGTCACCAACACGGGTCAATGAGAGAATCCAAAAACAAAAATTAATTTATTGATGTACTTTATAGCATAATCAATAAATTAAGAAAGTGTGCCTGGACCCACTTATGCGTTTGCCTGGACCTGCTTAGGTCACAACTCTAACTTAGACTTAAAATCGATAACTCCATTTGCATTTTAATTTTTCAATAAAATGTAAGAGACTTATTGAATACTTGGATGAACACTCATTATATGCTTGTTCTCCATGTTTTCGATATGTTCTAATACTTTATAATTTGTATGGCATTTTATTTTGCAATTTATGTATCCCATTTAATTATGTGTGTTTTTAAGTATAAATAGACACTTATTTATACAATACATAATCAATTTACTTAAATCTGCCTAGGTGCTAGGCCCCAACCCGTCACCCAACTAGCGCCTAGTATCTTTTAGAACCTTGGAAACAACACATAGTGGGTGAAGTCAAATGGTTTTGTCTAGGTATTTGATGAAAACATCAATTTATTCATACATGTCTATATATCATCTGTTGGATAAATGCAAGTAATATACACTTAGATGTCAAAGTCTACACATATTTTTAGTTCCTAATGTAAGACAAAATCACAAATCAGTTGGTGCATTCATATGTTTGGTTTATCAAGTGGCCTTCTGTGATCTAATGATCCAAACCTTCCATTTGTTAACACTATCAAAGGACCACCCTTACGAAAATAAAAATAATTATATAACTAAATCCGAAGACATTTAGTCACTAAATATAATCGAATAAATAGACACAGAGTGTTCCCAAAAACACTGAAAATGATAATCAAATGGTCCAACGACTTCCCTTTCATTTGATTTTTTGCAAGGATATGATTCTTAAATAACGTTACCAAAATTTAGAGGGTCTGGATCATTGGATCACATTGCAGGATGGACCCAACAATGCTCTCCTGTATACTTCTTGGAGAAAAGGACCCCTCTTAAAAAGGGGACTATGCTTTAAGTATTAAAATAGCAATGAAACCCATACAAACCTATAAATAGCATAAAACTATTCCAGCACAATTTTAACTGTTTGAAGGAGGAACTTACATCTGAGACGTGAAAGGGATATTTTAGCTTTGCTGGAAGGTGAGCCTTCTCTAACAGAATAGGCTGAATATCTGAAACGAAATGCCATAAATGTTGAAGAATTTAAGAGAGCGTACATAGCCATTAAATCAAACTAATTGACTACAGCTGTCTTTTTTCCTTGGTGTAAAGAGAGAGAGAGAGAGAGAGAGAGAGAGAGACCTAGAGAGCAATGACGGTCGACCCCATCAATAGTTTGCTTTGGCAACTTAAAACTTGAACAGCTAGCAGGTAAGCTGCAACCTCTATCCACAGTTCCTTGGATGTATGGTTTCCCCTGCCAATAACATAGGGGTTAGATGTATGCCTGCTTAAAAATATACCTCAAAATAAAATTTTAATCCCAACGTATGGTATTGGTTGGAACAAATATCATGTCTGGAACAACACCTGTGTCATACGGATGATTTCCAAGCCTAAGGAATCCCAAAAACTTCAAAACAAGGAGATAAAATTGTTCATTTTTTTTCCCTGGTTGCCTTTTCCTCTTTTGGCCAATATAAGGGTAGATATATTTAGACAACGTTTTTTTAAGAATTGATTTTATCCACTCTATCGCACTCAAACATTCATTCTTACACTAAACAAGCAAGACATACAACATTAAGCACCTGAATCCAACAGTGTAAGCACCTGAATCCAACATTTGTGCTTAAGTCATTTTGGCAACGTCAAAGCGATAACATATAACGCCATAACAATACATATCTCAGAAACGTTTTCCTGAATTATATGGATGGTTACCGAAGAATAATCTGAGGCAAACTTAATAATAGAGAAAGACGACATTGACTTGCCATTCGAAAGTTGAACAAGCGAATTACAATCTCAAGCAACATAACATACAGGAAAGCACTACGCAACCTTGATGAGAAAGGGCTGTCTAGTAGTTAGCCTTATATCATATCAGTGTGATTATGTGGATATGGACTGTTAGTTGCAAGTTAGTTAGGCTTAGTAATTCAAGTCTAAACCTTGATTAGTTGACAGCTGTAACAATTAGTTAGTCTATTTATGATTAGCTGGTTGATAGAGATTTTCATTTTACTGTTGGTGGGTGGGTGGACTAATGGAAAATCATGTTGTAAAGCCATTGTGTTTTGATCTTTGGAATGAAGGGAAAATCAAAGGGAAGGTTAGTAGAATTAGAGCTGTCTTTACAAGTCTTGGTGTTGATAGTGATTGCATTCAGTGGCAAATCTGATGAAGGGCTATGGGGGCCCGTGCCCCCTCTTGATGTTTTTTGGTTTAGAAAAAAATATGCTTAGTTTTAAACAATTTGAAGAAACTGCCAGAAAATATCTCTTCAATTTTTCTTCATGCAATAGACGAGTTCAACAAAAGCCAAACAACATCAACATCTCTCCAATGCAACTCTATCACTCAATTCTCATCTAAACCCACTGGGAGGCCGATATAAAAGTTGGTTATGGTAGCTCAAGAAGGTGAACATGGAGAAAACCTATATGTTTAAGATAATCTTACCAAGATCAAAGATTTATATAGTAATCAATGTGAAATCAGAAAACATGAAAGGGTTTTAGTGAATAGAGCTTGAGAGAACCAGCGAAAGCTCAATGAAGAAAGTTGAGATTCCACCATAAACCAATTGAAAATATGGGGAGTAGCCCAATTACTTATAAGCACATGAATGTCCTTCTTTTCCCGATGTGAGATTAATAATCTCAACATGCCCCCTCACGTGTGGCAAATTTTCAAGTTTAGCACGTAGACAACGCAAATCAAGTCTAGCACGTGGACAACACAATCAGGGTGACGTGAAACACGTGTGGCTGTTGGGCTTCATTCTGATACCATGAAGAAAGTTGGTTCCACAATAAAATTAATTGACAAAACAAGGAGTAACCCAATTACTTATAAGCACATGAAAAGTCCCTCTTTCCCCAGTGTGGGATTAATACTCTCAACACAACTGAACTTGATTAATTAGAACTGAATCAATCTCAATGACACATACACATATCAGCTAAGCAGGAACTAGCTGTATGTATAATGTTTTGACCCCAAAAAAAAAAAAAAAAAAAAAAAAAACGAAATAGCTACGCTCCAAGGCTATCTATGAGAAACTAACCCACAAAATACTAAAAATAAAAATATGGGATAATCCAGATTATCCACCATCGAAGCCATCAGAAAACCAGCTTTGTAACTGTAATGCAGTTTCAACAAAACCAAACCCATTTCAATTCAAATCCAAATAGGTGAGAAATGACAAAATAGGTGCAGAAATCGTGCATATAAAGTTGGGTGCCTCTGAAACTCTAGCCGGAGTGTTAGGTGAAAGATGATTTGTTGTTTCAACATGGAAATTTAAATTTCTGAGTAGGTGAAAGAGTAGAGAAATTCAAAATGCTACCTAAAATTATACAGAGAGAGAATGTGATAGGAAAAATACCTCATTGGAATCGGAGGTATTAACAGCCGCCATTGCAGCAAAATTTGGAATTGCGGAGAGATAGTTCTTCGTCCCCAATCCCAGTCACCCACTACTGCTTGCCTTTCAAGTTTCAGCAATTTCAAGAAGATAGAGAGAGGAGGGAGAGAAGGAGAGAGAGAAGTTAACGTTACACAAGTTACATGGGTACTCGAAATGGATGAAGGAGGAGAAGGAGCGCTTTGCTTTTCTTTTGGCAATCCTTTCCGCCCGATTCGAAGTCTTTAGCAAGCTCGGAAGCAATGGCCGACCGACGTTTTGCTAGTTCGGCCATCTGACGGTCGAGCTCGGCTAAGGCGTCTCCTTTTGCCCTTAGATCGTCGATTTTCGGACGGAGAGTGTCTTGAACGGTCGTGGTAGCTTACAGGTCGTGTTCGGCCTTTAGAGCGGTCTGGAAGATACTAAATGTCTCCCGAACCCGTTCCAAGGCAGACGATGCCCGAACGATGGCATCTCCGCTCAGGCGACCGTCGGCTCCAAGGTCGTTCAGACATACGCCAAGCAGATCAAGACCGTTGTGCTTGAGTACTTGCGACGTTGAAAGCGACAAGACTTCTCGCAACTGAGTCAGAGCGCTTGGATCGGCAGCTTCAGTCGTAGCGGCCGAAGGACCGGACTCTGCAGTTGTGCTGGAGATGAGGGCTTTGAATTCGACCTCCCACGAAGCCTGCACATACAAATCAGGTTAAGCTTAAAAGAAGTCATGACAAGAATAGCAAGAAGGTTTCATTTTTTAACCTGCCGAGAGGAGACCTCGGCCATATCTCCAGGATTGTTGCTCGAACCTAAAGAACTCAATGGCCGAGCCCAGTGTCTCTCAGGGTGCTTCTCAGTTCACGCGGCCGATGGAGGTTATCTACGTTTGATGGCCACTGAGGCGACCAAGAAATATAGATAACGCCCTTCGGTGCGTAGAATTTTCGATGAAAAGAGTGTACAGGCACCTGACATTTAGTATTTTCTTCGTTTAGAATTCTAAAGTAGAAAAAGCAATCAAGGAAAGACGGTAGAAGGTACTTACGAAGGCCGAAGTAACCTCCTGCGGAGGAATGTAGAAGCCCTGGTCTTGAGGATGAACGGGCGACTCCGCCGTTGCCTCGGGTTCCTCGGCCGGTCGTTTGCCACGGTCGGCTATGGAGGGGCCGACCGGGACAGCCGCTTCGGATGAGGCAGGGACATCCTGGTCCTGAGAATGAGCGAGGGTTTCGGCCACAGCTGTTGGTTCCTCGATCGGACGCTTGCCACGATCAGCCGTGGAGGGGCCGGCTGGAACCACCATCTCGGAGATCGGAGGAGGTTGTCGGCGAGTATGAGGACGATTTGCAAGTGGGACCTCATCGCTCCCCTCACTCTCTTCCAGAATGAAGACCGAGGGCTTTGGATTTTTAGGGGAAGTTCCCTCGGTCACAGAAACCGCCTTTTTCGGAACAGGTGCCTCCTCGACAGAGGGAGGCACAACTGGTGTACCAGCCCCAGAAACAGGCCGCGTTTGAACTGTTTCTACGGCCGGAGCTGGCGGTTTCTCGACCAAGGGTTGACCGACAACAGGAGAATGGGAAACACTGGGAGTCGTCGCCCCTATAGTTTGACTGGAGATGATGTGGATCTCCCGTGCGCCCTTCTTTGCCAGCTGTTTTACCCGCTTGGCAGGCGGCGGAGGTTCGACGGCCGGCTCGGCCTCTTGGCGAGGCCGTTTGGTCAGCGCGGCCCGACCAGCAGTTTTGTCCTTCTTAGTTACGACCAATTTTTTCTCGGCCGTAGCCACGGCAACTGCCTCCGTTTTTCTCAAAGGGTGACTACCTGAGAAGATAAAAGCAATTCAGTAAAGCAAATCAATATGCAAAGTTAAAAAAAAAAAAAAAAAAAATTGAACAGGTACCTGGAGCTTGGGGGGCCGGGGCCTTCTTAGGTCGATCACTGAAGAGTTTCCCCAACACATCTTCGACCGGAGCACCAAAGAACTCCTGGGTGTAATTTTCCCACCAATCACCGAAGGTGTCAGTGCAAAGGGTTTCTGGGGTGGCCGGTCGAAGGCGGAATTTTTGGCAGTGCTCTTGGAACTCCCTCGCAGCAGTTTTACATTCCTTCTCCGAGGAACGAGGTTCACGTCCACGGCTTAGGACTGTTCGGGAGGAGAGAAGGGGAACCAAGCAGCCCTGGAGGTAGCCGAGCTGTCGAGCAAGGAAGTTCGGGTGGTACACTTCCCAACCCGATCGTTTTCCATCGCAGCCGAGAGGGAGGTCGCGAGTGAGCACAAACGACCCCCAGGTCTGATGAAGATCGGCATCCTCCCCCGCGCCCCACATGGAGGTAGGCAGTCTGATGGAGGAAGGATAGTCTCGACGACGACATATCAGGAATTCGTCGTTCGAAAGGTCATCAAGAGCGAAGAGGTACCGAAATACCTCTTCGGCTTGATGATGAGGTGTTGGTCGGGAGGCCAGCTGAGGTCCAAGCGCCTCTGTTGGCGAGAAGTCAGCTATAGCCGGCCGAAGGGAAACGAAGTAAACTTGTAACAAGAGTTGGAAGACCCAGAGGGGACCATTCTGGTGTGGGTCAATCTTGTGGAGGGTCGCCTCAGCCATGCAACGGAAGAGATGGGCGAGAATGTTGGAGCTCAGTGCCAGGACGTGACCACTAGCCAGGGCCTCGGCTACCGGCATGTTCTCGACCAAGCATTTGTTTGACTTGGTACAACAAATGTACTTGTTGTACCAATAGAAGAGGAACGCTTCATGTTCCCCTTCTCGCAGGTCCTCTTCTCCTCGGCCGGCGAAATGGAGATAGAGGGTGTTGTAATTGAAGAAGTTCTTGTGGAGCTTCTGAATGTCTTCTTTCGACGGGATTTGACCTTCACGATTCAACGTCTCGAAAGCCTGTCGATCAAAAAGCGTCTTCAGGTCGATATTCGACGGGTACCCAGAGAGGGCCGCGTCGATAGGGATCCCAGTTGCCGAAGTGCCCAGAATGGCGGTAACATCAAGAATGGTGGGACCGATGGGCCCAAAATAATAGTTTAGGCCGATGGTAGGATCATTCTCGGCCTGGGAGGCCGTACGGCGAAAGGGCCATGGATCGTTCAGCTCAAGGGCTTCCAAGCCTAGGTCGGTTAAATCAGAACGCAAGACGAGTCCTAGTACAACAGGGAGTCTTGACGGGATCAGTAATCCAGAAAGTGAATCCGGCTCAGTTAAAGACTAGGTTCGTAGTCCTAGTGAAGATAGGACTGGTTGAGGTGATGTTGATCCGAAGAGGGAAACCTAGTCCGAGTAGGATTTTAGCTCGGACTCAAGGTCCAGTGCTATAAATAAGGGAAGCTGTGCATCAAGGAGGGCCCTGCAAATCAATACAAAATTGCCCTGCGCAAATTCTCACAACTTGTGATTTTTCTTTTTCCTTTTTCGCTGACACATCTTCCGTTGGCATCAACAGCACTGTGGAAGCAACCGGTGATATCTTAAGTCGGCATAGATAGCTCTGTCACCGTAGAATCAGTCGGTCTCGCAGTATCTTCCATTGGCATCAACAGCACTGCGGCGAGAACGATTGGTTACCTATCCGAGTCTCGGTCGAGAAGGATTTCTGAATCCTTATTGGCCGAGGTCATCTCATCAGCCTCCTCGGCGAAGTGAGGTGTTACAAGTGATTACATTCGGCACGTTAAAAGTCGAATTTGATATTGAACTTCGTAAAAATAGTTCAATATCAAATTCAGCTTTCAACGTGCCGAATTTGATATTGAACTATTTTTACGAAGTTCAATATCAAATTCGGCTTTTAACGTGCCGAATGTAATCACTTGTAACACCTCACTTCGCCGAGGAGGCTGATGAGATGACCTCGGCCGAGACGTGTTCCTTTCTCGACCGCAATCGCAAGACGCAGAAGTCAACCGCGCACCCAACGCAACATCAACAAATTTACTCCTCGGTCGAGCTCGGCCGACGAGTTGGCACGCCCCGCAATCACCGAAGGACGTAGTTAGCTTATAGATTACTCGGCCTGCGCGCCACGTAGGCTTGGTAGTTTCTAGGGTCAACAAAAACACAATCACTCTACTTTAGTCTAGTAAAGTATTAGCTGGTGCTCTAGTAAAGCTTGTGTCGTGTGGACCCGTAAGAAAACGCAATTACAACAACCATGGGATTGGTTTGTGTCTTCCACTAATGGCGGGATTTGATTTCTTGAGATTTGGATCCTCTCCTGAGCCCAATGAGAGGATCCTCCTGACGAACACACGTGGGCTGTTGGATTTTTATCCAACAGCTACAAACAAATGGATCTTTTTAGAGTTATAATAATTATAATCGTTGGATGAAAATCCAACTTTCCACATGTGTTGGTCAGAGGATCCTCTCCTGGGACTCGAGAGAGGATCCAAATCCGATTTCCAGCACATGTTCTCTCCCATTCGCTGGGCCCACACACTGCTATATACCCGCCATTTGCGTATTTGTACACCCAGCGCTGGACGTTTCTACACCCAGCACTTCCAAATAGAAGTAACCAGTCCAATTTTAGTGGTATCTTCACTACTAATTTATGCATCGATCCTCACATTTATTGCGTAATTAATAACTAATAATTATATATTGTATTGTTGTCTATGTTTGAGCAGTTGAGAAAATTAATCTACTTCAACTTCTGAAGTTTTCTTTCAGCTGAGAAAATATAGAACTACTCCAATTTCTAGTTTCAAAATGAGGGTTGAGAAATAAAAACAGATAATAATAATGGGGCAAAAGACTGTTTACTACCTTCATGTTTCGTGGTTTTCAATATTTAGTATATCAAGTTTTTTTCATCCCAAAATCATACCTAAAGTGTAAATTTTGGGACAATCTCATACATCCATTAGTCAAATTGTTAAGTCTCCCGTTAACTGTGACGTGGCGCCCATGTGGACAATGACTGGGCGCCACGTGGAAATTAAAAATTAAAAAAAAAACTCAAAATTTCAAAATTCAAAACCACCTTCCCATTCCTCCTCTACAACACCAATTCTTCTTCCAATCCGCCAACCCCACCACCACCATGTCCCAAAAATCCAAATCACGATGCAAAAACGCAAAACTCAAACAAAGCCCAGCACCTCCAATCTAAAACCCGACCCCTCAAAACCCTAACCCACATCGCCGTTAAGTA